GTAGGACTGCAGTAGCTACTGGGAATGGGCCAAGAAGCAAGTTACTGCGTCTCTAACCTTAGGCACCTATCCAGGCCAATAAAGGAATTTTGGTTGCCTAAAGACTTGGGGAGCCCGAGAGCTTCGCTGATGGCATGGTGACAGGCTGTCCCCAGGTATCACTCAGTGTCCTCTGTTTCATGCCAGGTTTGTGCCACCTTCCTTCTCAGAACTTCTGTGTAAACTGTCAGATTACCAAAGCGATATGCTAAACAATTGATTCCTGCAACTGATGTTTGTTTTCTTTTATAATTTTTCCCTATATTTTTTTTTTGCTCAATGTTGCTAAATTATTTGCTCCCAGCTGCTCCTACCTGTTCATTCTTATTGCAGGTACAACGTTTGACACTAGAATGTGTGTCTTTTAGTAAGATTGTTTTTTTTCCTGTTTGAGAGCCAGGATCTCACTATGTGCATCAGACTGGCTTTTCACTAGTGCCAATCCTCCTGCCTCAGCCTTCAAGTGCTTAGATTATAAGACTGAACCACTATGCTGCTTGCTATTGAAGTTTTGATCTTTGTTTTTCCTCCGAGTTTTTAACGGTAATCCTTAAATTTATTTTTTTTTATCTTCCATACAACACTGAGTTATGATTCCACTTTGTAAATGGTAATTTTTTAAAATGTTGTTGTGTTATATATGACATGTGCTTGTATGTGCATGCGGGAGCATATTTATGCTGAAGTCAGAGGAAGATGTCGGGTGCTGTCTCTTATTCTTTTCTGCATATTCCCTTGAGACGGGGTCTCTCACTGAATCTGAAGCTCACCTGTTCAGAGAAGTTGGCTACCCAGGGAACTCTAGGGATCTGCTGGTCTCCACTCTCCAGGTACTGGCTACTAAGAGAGTCCTGGGGATCCCAACCAGGTCCTTATGCCTGCACAGCGAGTGCTCTTAGCCACTTTGTCTTCTCTGGAATTGCCTTTCCCTTAATGGTTGCGTTTGCCTGAGTTGTGTTGATTTGTTACTTTTGAACTTATGTTTTGCTATCTTTTGTTAGCCTACCAGCTCTTAAACTTTAAGAAAAAAAATTTAATGGGTAGTTTTTTTTCTATATTTCTTTAATAATCAAGATTTATGGTTTTGTTCTCATAGATATATCTATGGAATACCGATTGTATAATAGCCTGTTTTTCTATTTATTTAGCCAGCACCTTAGTATTGGTAATTCACTTTTGTAAATAACAGAATTAGTCTATCAATTCTAGCCTTTTCGGGTGTTTGCACCTGCACTGTAAGTACCCATAGACCTCCACTTTCTGATGTCATCACTGCAGAGCCTCTGGACTGTGGTCTCTTCACTAACCTACCTTTCTCAGTGCATTCTTTCTTTGTAAAGTCCCTTGAATTACATCACAAGCCCTGAGGAACAGGTTAACTGACAACACTTGCATTCACTTTTGACTCTTAAAGCTCCGTAGCCCAGTGTTATCCTGCTTACCCTCACCCTTAGAAAGAATACTCTTTCTCTTAAATTGGCACAAGCCTGTTTAGTTGTCATTGGCCATTTCAGGACTGTTTTTTGATTTACTCCAAGAGTCCATGTTGTTCTAGGTTTATACATAGAAAGAATAAGTAAGACAAACGCCCTGCCCATAAGAAACATATTCAAATACCTGCACCAAACTGCAAAGTCGCCACTGAGACTTTGCTGCAATTCAGAATTGCCTAAAGAAAATCTCAATGTGATCTGCCGGGTAGGAAACTGTGGAGGAGAGACAGATACTAGGGACTACAACTTCTCAACGTCTGTTGCAGCTGGGAAATAGAGAGAGGAAGAAGCCAGGGTTCCCAATGTCCCCTTCAAGGGCACGCTATCAATGACCTTAACTTCCTTCCATAGGTCCCATCTCATAAGGGTCCCATAACCTCTTGGTAGCATCAGCAGCAGAAAATCAAGACTTTAACAAGACTTTGGGGAGACATTTGTGATCAGAATTACAAGAAGGAAAAACTAAGAAAATCTTGGGCTGGGGAAATGGCTTAATCAGTGAAATGCTTGCTGTTCAAGCATGCAGAGCTGAGTTCAGTCCCTCAGCACAAATGCTGATAAAAGGGGGGGCACTGGGGAGATGGCTGAGCGGATAAAGGGCTTGTTGTGTGAGTCTGGATCCCCAGCATCACTGATGGTAGCCTGACGACAGCCCCAGCACTCTCAGAGGCATACAGGATCCTTGGTTTCACGGTGGTTAGCTAATTTGAATTGGCAAGCACATGTTCTGGTAGAAACCCTTCTTCAGTAAAGTGTACAGTGATTGAGCAAGACAGTTGATGTCAACTTCTGGTCTACACATGCATGCACACACATGTGCCTCCCTCACCACTTATGAATTTATATATAAAAAAGGAAGAATGGAAGGAAGGAAGAAAGAAAGGTAGGAAGGAAGGAAGGCAGGCAGGCAGGCAAGCTGGACACAACAAAGCAAGTCTATAATCCCAGCACTGGAGGGTAGGCACAGAATTCTTGGAGCTGCTAGCTATCTGGTCTAGTCAATGAGCTATAGGAAATAGAACAGAACAGTTGAAGACGACACCTGACATAAGCCTCCGGCCTTCACACATAGATGTACATGAATATGTGAACATGTACACATAAGAACTGACTAAAGACTTCCAATAACGCGCTACTTGGTTGTGACGAAAGTAACATACGATGTAAAATGAGTAAGAGGAGAAACTGGGTGTGGGATACAGGGGACTCCTGTTAGGCTATTAAAAAGGAAGAGGAGCATATCCTACTAGAGGAAGGTTAGCAAGTCACCCAGATGCACAAAACACTGTTGGATATCTTTAAACCAGATTTCTCTGTTGACAAAACTTTAGGGAGAGGATGTCGTCTCTAAAGTGCATACTGAGCCAGAGGCCCATGACTCAAGGTTAAGAACTCCTTGAATTTAAGGTGGTAATGAGTATCTGACAGTGTCTCCAGATAGTTGGGATGAGGGCAGCACTTACCTGCCCCTAGAGGCATGACTTCAATCTTTACGCTATCAACTGACTGTACTTGCTACTTTTAGAGCAGGAAACGAGGATTTTCAAAATGAATGATTCCTAAACCACCACAGTTATTAAGCAAGAGTCCCAGATTCTACAGCTAATTGTTTCTAGTGTGTCAGCCATATTTATGGAGGCAGATGTAAGCCTTGTGGGTGGTAGGTGGTGTCTTAACCATCTGCTTCCAAAGCAGTTGTTTAGCAACACTTCCTGGGTTAGAGTCAGAGTGCAAAGCTTAGGCCCTGTTTAGAACACTTGCTGCTCTTTTTCCTGCTTCCTAAATTCAGCTCTAAAGAACCACATACTAAGTCTTGGGAGAGCGGGTGCTAATGCTGCATCAAAACCTGCTAAGGCTTCAGCTGAATTCAGTGACAAATGGCATTTACACTTGGTGAACACAGGCTTACTCATGGCTGACACTCAGATGGCTGATCATTTTGTCCTTTTTTTTTTCTTTTTTGGTTTTTCGAGAGAGGGCTGCACTGTAGTTTTAGAGCCTGTCCTGACTCTTGTAGACCAGGCTGGCCTCGAACTCAGAGATCCGCCTGCCTCTGCCTCCTGAGTGCCGGGTTAAAGGCGTGCACCACCACCACCTGGCTGTCCTGACTTTTCCTAAGAACGCAGACTGCAGGTTTCCTGAAGCTTCTAAGATAGTACTAGAATTCATAGCTACGTATGACTGGATTTAAGGTCTACTCCAGGAGATGGAGCCCATGCCCAGCACTCACAGGCTAAGAACCCGGGACTAGAGAGGCCATGGATCTAGGGGGAACCAAATACTATCGTTCTGCCAGAGAAATGTACCAACACCAGGCGGTGGTGGTGGTGGTGGACACCTTTAATCCCAGCACTCAGGAGGCAGAAGCAGGTGGATCTTTGTGAGTTAGAGGCCAGCCTGGTCTAAAAAAAACAAGCAAGAAATATAACAAAATGAATCCTAGTGACATTCTGCTAACCCATAGATCATAGATCAGTGTCTTACTCAGCTATCATCAGAGAAGTTCCTACCTGTAGTAGATGGAAACAGACTAACAATCAGCCAATGTGCAGAGAGAGTTGGACATGCTCAATCTTCAATAGGCTATCCCCATCAAACCTCTCCTCTCAGGGCTCAGGGAACCTTGCAGAGGTAGAAAGATTCTAAGAGCCAGTGGGGATGGAAGAGGCCAAGGAAACAAGGGCTTCCAGACACACCAGGACTGATGAAGGTGTGAACGCAGAGTAGGTGGCAGCATGCATAGGGACTACACAGGTCCAAGCCAGATTGGGTCCCAGAACTGAGAGGGGAAGTAGACACACCCTCCATCTCTAAATAAGAAACTGTTTCTAATAGACAACAGCTCACAAAGGAAAATTTACTCCAATGGAGTTTCACTGAGTATACAAGCCACATTCAAGAGCAGGGCTAACTCACAATGAACTCAATGATACTCTGGGAATATTTTTGTCTCATGCTTTGTCTGGGCATTTTCCCCCCTTATTGGCCTTTGCTTATGTAACTTGGTTTTAATTTTGTGTTTTTATGGTTTGTGTGTATGCATACATCTCTGCATGTTATGTGCTTTCTTTTTTCCTGCTGTGGTCTGCTCTCTCTCGTTTCTTTTCTAAAGATTGAGAGAAAGAGGCACAGAATTGGATGAGTGGGAAAGATCTAGAAGATGAGGGAGGGACAGCGATGAAAACATATTGCACGAAAAAAATATTTTCAGTAAAAAAAGAATTTACAGTTACTAACACACAACTCATTTTAAGCTTAGAAGGCAAAGTTGTCTGATACACTCTCATGGGTTTTAATGATCAGGATGTAATACATAAAGGGACAAATGTTTCCGGTCACTGTGACAATGTTCTATATCTGGAAGCCTCTTAGTAAATCCATTTGTGACTGCGAGTCTGACATGCATGACAACATGGCTCAGAGGTTACACCTGACAAGCCTGTATTTAAAACAAAACCAGCAAGACCATTTTCATGAAAACTACTTTTATTTAAAATCAAGTGCATAGCACTCATCTAACCCTGCTGTGTAGACTTAGCACCATACTCCTGTTCGTGGTCAGTCAGAGCACAGATATTTTGGTTTGCAGTTTGTACTTGAATAGTGTTTATTTAAGGACTCTCGTTAAGTCCTTTGTACACATCATTAATCTTTTCACAGTACACATTTAATGATGGTCCAGTAATCTCAAAACAAAAACAACTTTTAAGACTAATTAATAAATTAAACAAAACCCACACAGCCCCCACCCCCAAGCTAACTGCTGTTGAGTTCCATTTATATTGAATTCAAAGGTTCTAAAATAGTCATGATTCTCCGGCCTCCCGCACTGGGTATACAGCAATAGTCATCAATTACTTGACTACCCCCAAAAGGATTAATCCAGTGTTCTTCAGCTTTTTAAATATAAACTGGAAAAAGTGTTAATAAGCTTTTTAAAAAGGCAAATAGTCTTCGACAATAAGAATGACACAGAACCAATCACTAAAAGTATTGACAAGACATTAAATTACCACAGGCACTGGCTGTTGTTTCAAGTTAGGATTTCTATCCCAATAGCTTACATTCATAGCATTACTGAGGTAGTTACAACACTGAAAACTGGACTCCATGTTGCTGGGCTCTGTCTGTGAGTGTGAAAGACACATTATCATCTTTTGAACCTACTTTCTCCTAATAATTCAAGTTTTCCTAAGGTAAGAATTATAAAATCCAATTAGCAGCCTTTTTAAAGAGGAAAAGGGGTAACCGTTTTCATGCCTGAGAACTGCCATGCGTGCTCTTCTGGTGGTTTTCAGCACCAGACTAGTAAGTCCACACTACGCGTTCTGCATTCTAAATACGAAAGTTAGCTTCCTTTAAGGAAAGGATACTTCCCTAAAAATTCCTGTTGGCAGCAGTCACTCACCGGCACTCATCCACCGGAGCTGCCTCTACCAGTCCATCACGCTGCGGAGCCCTTCCTTTCCCAACAGAGGCCACTGGCTAGCTACGAGACTCCTGCTGCACACCCCGTCTTTAGAGTTAGTTCTCATCAACACACACTGGTAGTCTCACATCTGCCACAGTTTCCCTTCTATTCAAGTGCTATCTTATAAAAACACAGACACGCCCTACTCATTTTAAACCACAAAGTTTCCCTCCACCAGTTCTTTCTTCTTTCATGGATAAGAGCACAATGTATACAGTTCATCAGTTATTTTTTACTTTTTAAGTTTATCTGCCCCTCCCCCAATACTTTATGGCCAGGCTGCCCTTGCTGTAATGACTATTACTGCTGTTTTTACTCACTACCAATAGAATGAACTGTCCCAGGGCAGCTGCACAGCCAGTCTAATGAAAATAGCTACTGAAATTTTAAATCAGTACCCCTGCTTTCTTAGCTTGATTTGCTGGATTCCAAGGTTGCTTACAGAACTACCCTCCCCATAACAAAGTGCTGCATTAGCCCAACCTGAGTACTACCCTGGCCACCCTCAACTCCAGACTCTACTCTAGTACTGACACTATTCAGCATGCCTTTTCCTGAAAATTGGACGACAGAACTGATTATCAACCTCTGATTGTATGGGGTGACGCACAACCTGTCCCCGTGTGAGCACCACAGGACCCACTTTAGATTCTCATCCCAGCAGGAGCATTGTAGCCTATGTTACACAGGTAGTTCACACACGAACACTGCAAGGCATGTTGGTTACAGCTAAGTGTTTCCAAGTTCTACAAGTTCCCTGAGTTAAATGTACTTAATCCTGAAGAATCGGGGCTGATCACTTAGGGGGAAAACTACCAGAGTAAAACAAAAATTATGATCATGATTTCAAAGTATGTATCTGTTTCACCCCTGATTTTAGTATATAAATCCAAACATGTATATTATTTATGATAGGAAGTTATATAAAATCATCTGTGTTTTTTTAACTGCACAGATTAGTATACTTAGCAACTGGTGAGTTTGAACCCACCAGTAGGCCAAAAAGACTCTGAGCTGAAAGATTAAAACAATTTTTCAAAAATTAATACTGTTAACTCTCCTTCATAAAAGATGGTTTGGCAAGTCCACAGATACACAGTAAGTCTTTGATGTATGTGCCAGCATAAGACCCCAAAGCCTACCACAGCTCAAATATCAGAATGACAAATTTTCAGCTGCATTAAGCATTTTGAAATGTTTGGACCATCAGCCAAGGCTGGAACATTTCTGTCACAGCCTTACACAGACTGACACCCGTTAGTGTCTGCCGAGTCCTCCTAGGTATTCGAGGCAGTGAACAGTCTCCTGGTGCTGGTGCCTGCTGCACTGATACGATCTGTTTTTCTTTCCTTTTGAAGAGGAAAATAAAAAGCCTGCCCCAGAGCTATCCATCTCAGAGCAGTCTGGGTCAGTTATGATCTACAATATATACGTCATCACCTCTCAAAGCATGGAGTAATACATGGGAAGTGTTCATTTATCTGGTAACTCCGGTTATAGGAAACACTGAGACAGGGTTTAACTTCCACTGGTATGGCCAGGGACATTCCAACACCAGTCTGCACGTGGCCCAGGCCCTGAACACTAGTTTGGAAGCCCGCAGGACAAGGCTGCAGGGTGTAAGACGAAGTGTGTGTGGCGGACACAATCTGCTGACGGCCTGGCTGCTCTGACACAGGGTGTCGACACTGCACCGAGGTCTGATGAAGATACTGAGGCTGCTGGAAGTGAACTGGTCGCGAGGGCTGAGCTGTCTGGAACACACCCAGCTGTGCTGTCGGAGGAGCTGGTTGTCCCCTCTGTTTGTTTGCTTCTTTCACATCATTATCGTGAGCACTGAGACAAGAGAAAGGAAACAAGACCGTTACTTGGCAAGAATGCTGCCAAGTCCCACGTCCCACCTGCGCCATAGCTCACGTCATAACCAGTCACTACTGCTACCTAAGTAGCGGTCACTGTGCCACCATCCTAACAACAGCGACACCTTCCTTATAGCTCTCTCAAGTGATTCATCTCGGTAGAAACATTGTTGGAACTTTTGAGGATTTTTTCCAACTGGGAATTTGAAGGCACATCCTGATGACCCTTAAAATCCAGTGGTATGGAGATGGAAATGGGGTGAACCTGGACTGACCTCAGTGCTGTGGGCCTCCACATATGCAACAGCTCCATTTCCAGTCAACTACGTAGAGTCTGACAACAACAGAGCTTTACCTGGTTCACAGGCAAAGAACGCTCCTTTGCTGCATGGCACTATTTGTTCACAGCAGTGAGCAACTCACAGAAGCACCCTCAGAGCCTAGGGTCTTTGAGAAGCAGTTTATAGGGTGTATTATATACAAAGGAAAATGTTAGCTAGACATTACAAATGCGAGAGCAAAAAGGCTTACACCAATAGTCGTTCAATACACTGTACTAAGAAATCCCAGGAGTAAGCAGTAAGACGATGCAGTCTCGTAGGCCATGTTGGAGAAAGACGAAGGATAATTCTCGAAGAAGCCACACATGCAGCAGCTACTAAAGAAGGTGCATAATTTAGAAAGGCATAATCTGTGGAGACACCAAAAATGAACTTAAGCAACAGAATACATGTGTTATCAGTGCACAGCCACATGAGGGTATTCTAACAACTCACCTTGCAGAGATACTTCCAGGAAGTAATCTGCATATTTGGCCATGTAGAGTTTAGTCTTTTCCAAGCAAATCATTGGCCAGCCGTCATGAAGATCTGTTTCATGCACTGCTTCAGAGAGGTAATACTCAATGAAGTGGGCAGCTGTGGGAAGGCAGAGGTTCCACTGAAAGGTCTCTAATAACAACAGTTCCATATGCAGCAGATTCTGCTTCGTTAGCACCAGATTCATGTTAGTCATACAGCCCAGGCTGTTGAGCTGCTCCAGCTTAGGCACACTGTCTTCTTTTTCTTCAAATTTACCTTGTAAGAAGGGGGAATGGGTGGAGAAAATGTTAGAAAAGTCATCTTTGGAGGTCTTACCAGTTAAATGGGACCTCGTGCCTTGCTAGTAGGACACATACAGATTTAAGCATATTGTCTCCATCTCATATAGATGTACCTACATCATAACAATCTCCATGTTTGCACACTGTCTTCCCTAGTACTTCCCCACCCTTTACATTTAACCATTCTCTGAAAAAAATGTGTACAGATTTGAACAGTGTCCTATGGCATAAAGGAAATAGTCATACTATAATGAGGCAGTAACTACCTATTTGATTCTCCCCCTCCCCCAAAAGTGTCCCTTTTGTGGGCAGTAGCTGGTTAAGGAAAATCATTTTAGAGCACCGAGAATTTAACATCAGAAGTTTATTTGGTGAGTGCTCCACACTGAGCCACACTCCCCAGGAGTTCTGAACTTTTCTGGAAACTAGTCAGCATCACATATGTAATCTTGGCAGATTTTCAGCATAGTCTCAATAGCAGAGAGAAAGAAAATGTGAAAGAAAAACTGAGTAAATAACTTTAATACAGGCACTGTTATTTCAAAAACAAACACACAAAGGACCTCTACTGCTCCTCTTCTGTAAGTTTATTTTTCAAAAAAGGGAAGGGGGGCTAGGTATGGTTGAGCATGGAGCATGACATGTGCCTGTAATCATTAGGAAGGCGAAGGCAGGACAGTAAGTGTGAGGCTATATATATAGGCCGTATTGTGAGAACTTGTCTCAAAAAGCTCAAAATCTGGGTCAATGAGGTGACTCAGTAGGTGAAGGTGCTGGAAATCTGAGTGCAATCCCCATAAGGGTGGAAAAAGAGATCAAACTTTACTAAAGTTGTCCTCCTAGTTCCACAAAGTACACACACCCAAGTGCATATTTCCCTTCCCTCCAAGAATAAAGCTTTAAAGCGAAGGGGGTGGTGGGGGAGAGGGGAAGATTCTTATCTTCTTTTAAATCCCCTTACTCAAGGCAGGAGCAAAGGTGACATGGTAAGAGTTCATAATTTGAAGCATCAACTTCTGAGAAAACACTCATCTAGTGTTCCAACTACTCACTTAGATTTTCTTTCCACCTAAGAAAACTGTTTCTACAGATTATGAACCAACTTACATTTAAATTTCCAAACAAGCATTACTACACATAAAGCATGCATTCAGGTATTTCTATAACCCATGCCTGTCTCTGGGGCATCACCATGTCCACGAAAGAACAGAGATTAGGGCTAACGCACTCTCTCAGTACTGTGTTCTACTTTACACTGATGCTCAAGTTATAATTACAGATTCCTCACAAGGGAGTTTACATTAGTTCTTTTTTTGTTGTTTTGTTTTGTTCTTCGAGATAGGGTTTGTGTCACTTTGTTGCCTGCCCTAGAACTAGTTCTTGTAGAGCAGGCTGGCTTGAACTCACAGAGATCCTCCTGCCTCTGCCTCCCGAAAGATGGGATAAAAGGTGTGCACCACTACTGTTAAAAATTGTTTCAATATTTTGAAAATGATTTCAGTATCTGTTTTCCTTAGAAATCTAATTTTATTCTACCCATTTATAAACAATTTATAGGGAAAGGTAAGAAAGACTGCCAAAGCAGGGAAACTATATTTTTTGAAGGGGTGGATTTGAAACACTGACTAAAGCTGCTACCACAAATGGCAAAGGCCAAGGCCAATCAGCTGACCAGTGTGCTGCAGTAGGTAGCCAGTGGGCTTTGCTCACAGGCTCATTTTGGGGCTGGAAAAGCACTGCTGCCTACCTAGGAGTTTGCTTAGGAAACAGAATTGGGGTAGAAGGCTTTGTCCTTGATGTCAGGAGACTCTAAACTCCTATCCTTAGGCTACTTCAGCTCTAGAGAGTCTGTGAACTTCTTTAAAATTAAACCACTTATTGAGGTCCTGGGTCCTCTGAAAGTTTTACACATATTAGGCAGCTGCTGTACAACTGAGTTGTACTATCAACTCTTTCCAATTTTAATTTCAAAATGCTGTTTTAAGTTGCCCAGACTGGTCGCAGACTTGACATCCTCCTGGTCCAGTCTCCTGAGAATCTAGAATTACAAACATACCGCATCCCCAGGTTAAAACTACTCTTTAAAGACTACTGCAGAGAGAAGCAAAACTTATATAATTCAGACTTTAAGAATCTAGACAGCTTTTCCCAATTCAAGCCATATAAGAATGGCCCTTTATACCACAATGCTCTTCATGACCATGATCAGCATCACCACTGAAGAGGAAAAGAAGTCATTATTCTCAGAGTAATAATGTGAAGCTATGCAGAAGGACAATGATGTGGGCAATTGTTCAGTCCCTCCAGATGAAATCATCAAGGCTTTCAAGCACCTTGCCATTTGTGTACAGCAGTACTAGATACATACTTCAAAGGAATGTTATAAAAATTAATGAGTTTATTTATACCATGCTTTAAGTTCCTTTGAAGAAATTAATATGCCATAATTCACTGTAATTCAAGGATCAAGAGTATTTCATATTCTCCCCTTGAAACTTTCATCATCAAAAAATAAAACTGTTTATGGTCAATTGATGTTACATGAGGTCAGCCAGCTCACCCAGGGTCAAAAAGTTGAGTGAACTAAAAATGGGAGCCAGAAGGAAGACATTTATATCCTCAAATCTGAACTTCTAAAGCAAAACACCATGCCAGATTAGTTGGGGGCAGCTTTCAGGATGCCAGACTTCTGTGTCTGTGCTTATAAAAATATTTAAAGTAAATGTCAAGGAGTTTATATTCTGATTTTCTTTCATATGCTGATTTTCAAAGTTAAAAATAAACTGCATGGGGCTAGAGAGACAGCTCTGCCATTAAGAGCAGTGGCTGCTCCAGAGGACCCAGGCTCATTTCTCTACACCCACATGGTGGCTCACATCTGTCTGCAACTCTAGCTCCAAGGGATTCAACACCCTTACACAGGCATGCATGCAGGCAAACCACCAATGCATACAAAGTAAAAGTAATTCACTTAAAAATAAAATAAAATGCATGCCAGGTATGGTGGCACAGGTTTTTAATCACAGCACTTGGGAAACAGAGCAGGTGGATTTCTATGTGTTCAAGACCAGACTGGTCTACATAGGAAGTCTCAGGTCAGCCAACTACATAGTAAGACCCTGTCTAAAAAATAAACAACATGCTGCATAAATCACCACATTTGGGATTCTAATTCAGTTTTCAGTTTTTGAGAACCTTTTTGTCATAGATAGTGGTATATACTCAACAAATGGACAAGAAATTCCAAAAGTGTGATAACATCAATGAGTTACATGCATTCACATCTATCATTATTGTGTTAACTGCTATGCATAGTTTAAATTTACTTGTTCATACACACGAACCACAAAGATCAGGGTTTTTTTTCACTTGAAAGGAAATACCAGAAGCCATATGATTATATTGATAAAGGACCCAAACAGGAAATGAAGATAAAGGCAATTCATACTGCTTCCCAGAAAAATAAAGAATTAGAAGCCAAAAACAAAATACCAGGCCGCCTTTCCCTTATGGGAAATGTACAGACCAGCCATGGAAACCACATTTTAAACACAATAGCAAATGGTCGCTCTGTGGCAGAGAAGATCGATACAATGAGTAGAGTGGATGATCCCATCTGGAGCTCAGACAACATTTTATTCTTTCACCACCAAATAGAAAAGTCATCTATACTAATATACAAAGAATTCTCACAAATTACTAAGACCATAAATTTAATAGAGAAATAGGGAATGAACAGAAAGGCAACCGATGGGGATAGGGAGGCTAAACTCATTAAAAATTAAAATGTAAATCAAAACGACTATGCGATTTAATTTTTCTAATAGACCTAATAAAAAATAAACTAAAAAAAAAGCAACTTAATACTGGGGAGCCAAAAGGAACAATTTGTAACACTTGTTACAAATTATAAGCACTAAGAGCCTGTATCAGAAGCCTCATTCCAAGGCTGCTTCCAAACTGCCTGTAAGCCTAATGCTGCTCAAATAAGCTGAAGCCAGCCAGGGAAAACAGCTAAAATGTAAGAACAGTTACTTTCATGGACAAACACAGCTATTTTAGAAGAAGTCAGACCCTTTAAGAGTAAAAAGCCAACAGGGCTGGAGAAAAAAAAAAAAGAAAACAAAAAATAAAAAACAAAACAAAACAAAACAAAAAAAAGAGTAAAAAGCCAAGCTAGAGATTCCAGAACAGCATACTGGGGAATTGGCCATCCAATGTTCAACTTTCTATACTGCAATTTTCCTATGTTGCCCTACTTGCTCCACACAACAACTTTTATAAACTAGGCATTTTTATTTCCATTTTATAGAGAATTAACCTGAGAACCAAGGGTTACTGAAATTTGTACTGTTACTGATTAAAAAAAAAAAAAAAAAAAAAAAACCAACACTACAATCTGACTCCTAAATACTACAAAGCACTTTCAAATCAGATAATGTGCAGGGCCTTTCTTCACAATTCTAGTAATGTAGCTACCCAGGTAGGTGGATAAGCATTACCTCCAAGAATATACAAATTGTGATCTGTCTTTGGTCAAATTATATACAGCATCCAATTATTATATAAATGTAGACTCTGCCAAGTGGTGGTGGCACACACCTTTAATCCCAATACTTAGAAGGCAGAGGTCAGTGAATCTCTGAGTTCAAGGCCAGCCTGGTCTACAGAGCAAGTTCTAGGACAGCCAGGGCTACACAGAGATACCCTGTCTCGGAAAACAAACAAACAAAAACATCAACCAAAAAGAGAGAAAAAGAAAAGAAAAACAGAATATAAGAAATACTAGATTGGGGCTGGAGAGATGGCTCAGTGGTTAAGAGCATTGCCTGCTCTTCCAAAGGTCCTGAGTTCAATTCCCAGCAACGACATGGTGGCTCACAACCATCTGTAATGAGGTCTGGTGCCCTCTTCTGGCCTGCAGACATACACACAGACAGAATATTGTATACATAATAAATAAATATTAACAAAAAAAAAGACTGCAGTAAAAATAGGTGTCTAATTTGGAGAGTAAACAAATACTAGATCAAATATACTGACCAATCTATTTTTTTTTAAAAAAAGAGATACTAGATTCCACAAATTTGTAACACATATCAAACACTGAAAACAGACTATCAGTTTATAAACATCCTAAGCTTTTTGGATGTATTAGAGATGGAGAGGAGGACAGAATGTTGTTAACTAAGTTCCAAGGTCTTCAGTTCTGACCCAGCGGAGGGCAACTGCTCCAACTCTTACCTATCACTTACTTAGGAGGGCTGAGGCTTTGACGTGTACACTGAACACACCTGCTCTACCTTGGAAAAGGAAGAATGTAAAACCAAGTCTCTCTCAGGAACATGGGGGTCAAAGGTGACAGCAGAACTAAGGGAAGAGGTATCTGGTTCTCCTAGTAGTCAGTGATTATGGTGCTTTGAAAGATAATGCTCCCATAGGTTCACTCACTTGAATGATTGGTACCCAGGGGGTGGAACTGTGGCCTTGTGGAAGGAGGTTGTCACTGGAGGTGAGCTTTGAGGTCTCAGAAGCGCCCACCATTCCAGTCAGTCCTCTCTCTGCCTCACAGTTGGTGTCTCAACATGTCAAGTTCTCAGCTACTGCTCCAGCACCATGCCTGCCTATTGCCATGCTCCCTGCCATGGTCATGGACTCTACTCCCCTCTGGAATGGTGAGCCCCATTAGCAATTCATATCTGAACTACAACAAATATGAACAGTACACCTTGTTACTAGAAAATAAGCTTTAAAAATTATACATTGTCACATTAATTACACCAAATAAGCTTCCACAGAACAAAAGGATCACAACCATACATTGCAGTTAGTAATTTTAATACAAGAACTGAAAATTCCATTTCAGCTATCCTAACACATTACAAGAATCAAGTTCCCTTCCTCTGTTAGGGAAATAGCAAAGTGTAGGAATTTAGCATCATGATGGCCAGCACTACAGGGTGATCAAAAACGTTTCCTCCTGCAGACAGGGTCTTGCAGTGTTGCCTGAATATAGGGTCTGTCATGTCTGGCTTAAAACTCTTAGTAACCAACCAGATCTTGAAGTGGACTCCAGTAGTGCCATGTAATATAAGTAGCACTAGTCAGTTTGGTAAGTTACTGGTAAGCAATCTTTAGTCAGTCACAATGTAAGTTATCTGATGAGACTGTTAGCATCGTTCTTTATTTACAATCCGTGAAGCTTAGCTTCCTATTTGGTTCACAACACTCTAGGAAGCACAGAGAGCAAGCTGGAACTTGGCAATGGTTGAGCAGACAAACGCAGGCCATAAAACTATTTTTTCATTATTGATTTAAAAATTTTAAATATTGCTTTTGTCTGATGGCCAGCATAGGTCTCCATTATGAGCTAATTCTGTAACCTAACATTCTATGGGATAAAAACAAATATATTACTTATGGATGTTCATACACCTGACCTGTCAAGCACGGGATTTTCCAATCTTATGCAGATAAACTCTAAAGGGCTTCATAGCCAGTGATGAAACACATGTAGCATTTTATATATGATTTCCTATGAGCATAAAACTTTAATTAAAGTTAATTACAAATGTGTAAGTACTACTTCTCTAGCTTTAAGATGGAGAGGGGAACTATGTGTCTAGATCTTAGAGGAAAACAGATTTCAAAGGGAAATAAAGATATTCAGGAAGTAAACAGCATCCTGCTAAGAATTTGGCTCAGGAGGCACATGATGGATGAGACAAGACCAGCAGCTGGATCTGTAAGGATTCTAAATGCTTCACTAATCAGTTCTCACCCGAACCCACAGGCAGTGTGAAGCCATCACTATAGTTGGGTTTTATTTACTCATCTGGTTTCACAAAGGATCTGAAATAATTTAAAAAGTCACTTAGGTAGTAGTCTTGGAGCAAGTATATAAAATTTAAGAGGCTCAGATCTGGAAATGATACCACCTAATAATACACTGAGTTTTATGGGTTTATTAGTGTCTAAGCAAAAAGGTATTTTAGAAAGATTACTAGCTTCACAGCCTAATGGGAATGTACTTACCACAGCAGCCATATTGGATGCCAACCTTCCAGTGAGATCAGAGGTCAAGGCCGACAATAACAACTATATACTACTTTGAGATAAGTTTTAATGATATGGATAATACAAAAACAATATCAAATACAACTATCAATTAGACTTCATATCAAATGTGATCTTTTTACTTTGTTGAATGAAGAAAACTCAATTTTCATTCTTTTATATGCCCTCTCTCGTCAGTGTAGATACTAGCAAACAAGGTGAGTTTCAGCACCGAGAGCCTAGCAGCACATTCTGTACGGGTAATAAATAAGAGTCTATCAGATTATATACCGAAGCCACTTAGTATCAGCTGCAGCAAACATGACTGAGTTCATTAAACTTATACCATGTAGCCACGACAAAGGGTGCAGCACCTTTAAGACAGTTTTCAACTCCAGTTACACTGATGTTTGAGTCAGAGAATCTTGGTTCCAGGGACTTGTTCTTTGAATCCAGGGGGTTTAGCAGTATCCAAACATCTACACATTAGATATTGTAGTGTTCCCTAAGTTGCTTCTGGTTGTCAATCACTGATCAAGAACAAAGGTTCTCAACCAAAATTACCTTTGGGATTTTTAAAGTGTTAAAAAATAAAAACATCGAGTCCCTATTATTGAAATTCTGGCACAGTATATTAGTGACGCCTCTCATTTATCTGACCACAAGAAAGCTAAAGGAGAAGGATTTACTTTGGCTCACAGTCCAGAGGAAGGCAGTCTGTCATGGTGGGGAAGACACAGTGGCAGCAGTGGCTCCATCTGTAGTGCTGACTGGGAAGCAGAGACAAGGGAATGTAAGGGGTCAGCTGGCTTTCTCCTTTTCCCCTTTTTATTTAGTCTAGGCCCCAACTTATGGGATGGTGCTACCTGCATTTGAGGTATGTCTTTCCTCAGTTAAACCTCTTTGGAAACTCCACACAGATATGAGTAGAGGTGTATCTCCTAGGTGATTCAAATTGTGTCGACAATGGAGATTAACCAGTATATCTGTGCTGCTTAGAATTTGTATTTGTATCAGTCTTCAGGAGGTAGGGCTTGGGCATGTATTTCTTTTTAAATGTCAGAACTATTTTTTTAATATCTAGCTAACAAGCACAGTATATAATTCCTAAAAGCAATAAACTGAAATGACTGGGACTTGAATACTTCACTGAGTTCGCTATAGCTCTATCATATAAACATGTAGATTCTGAGTCATGTAAAGCAGATTCATACTCACTTGCTAGAAGCAGACAGGAAAGTGCAACTAAATGCAGCTGCTGAATAGAGATGTCATAGCGATCCATGAACAGGTCCAGCAAATAGACAGCAAGGTGGCGGGCAGAGGGGCACAGAGTGAAGCGATTGCTCACAATGGCAATCAAATCAGCAAAATATCGCCTGAGACTCAGTTGAGGGGACTGGCCCTTGTAAGAAGGCAACTTCAGTTCCTAAATGAAAAGGAAGAGCATTTAATCTATAGAAAGATCTTCATAAGGCAGACTTAACGTTGTTTTTCTAAAATATTCTGTTGTAAGAGCTTAAAGACATGCTTGGCTTCAAAGGACTGTAGAAATAAAGTTGAGTGGGAAGAGGGTGTATGGCTTTAAGAAAAACAAACACAAAGCCAACCACAGCCCAAATACACCCTTCCTAGGTTGAGAGGGAGCAGACTGTTGAGTATGCTCCTGAACTGCGCAGACAATACACTCATATAGAGACCAGGACTTATCCATCACTATCTTTCAACCTTACTTCCCTTTCACCAGTTAGTATCTTTACCTTGCCACCTTTCATATACACTAAAAATTTTAAATCACCAGTATTCACTCTTAGGACAATATTATATAATTTGTTTCTAAACTCTATATTATTAAGAGATTCTGGGACTGGAAATTTAGCTTAGTGGTACAGCATATTCATATCATGTGCAATGCTCTGAGTTCAGTGTTCAGTTCTCAGCAACAAGCAACACCACAAACACACACACACGGGGGGGGGGGGTGTCCAAATATGTATCAAAGATGGGAAGCTTTCAAATTCATTTTATGAGTATAAGACCAAGAATAAACTTGACAGGTAATCACAACAGAATAAAGAACTACAAATACCAAAAGCACACAGAAATAAAACAAAACTAAAGAAGGAGTAAGTACACTGAATTCATAAATAAACTATATCTTGAAGGATACAATCATGTGAAAAAAGCAGTCCACAGGATGAGAGAAAACATTTAAGATCATATATCTGATAAGAGGTTAGTAGCCAAAATATTTTTTAAGCTTTCTCTTTTTTTCTTGTTCTAGAGTGCTAGGAATTGAACCCATGGCCTTGCACAGACTAGACACACTGTTACTTAGCTATATCTCCAATCCTTCACAAATTACAAAAAAAATCCCTATAACTCAAAAATAATAAAACAACCAATTTTAAAGTAGGAAAATAAACAGACATTTTCCCTAAGAAAACAGGCAAGCGGGCTAGGGAGGTGGCTGAAAGGGTAGGAGAACTTTCTATGAAAGCATGAAGACCCAAACTCAAATCCCTAGGATTTATATAAAAAGTTGGGTACGGCTGCACAGGTCTCTAACTTCAACATCAGGGACGGCAAAGGCAGGCAGACTTCCGGGGCTTGCTGGTCAGACAATATAGCCAAAACAAGTTCCAGTTTCATGGTAGATCCTTTCTCAGAGCAATATGAAAGAATGGTAGAGGACGATATCCAGAGCATCAATCACATACATGGTACCATATGTACAAAAATACAAAGTATTTTTACAAAACACAAAGAGACACAGAGAAAAAACATAAAGTAACCAACAAGTACAGAGATGCCCAACACCATTAATCATTAAAAAAAATGTAAACCAAAACCACAAGCTACCACTTCATACCCATCTAGATTGCTATTATCAAAACCCCACCCCCAAAAATGCCTCCAAGAGAAAACAACAAGTATTGACAAGGCTATGAAGACACTAGAACCCTCACCCATGACTAATGGTGACACAAGTGATGCAACTGCTGGAGAGAACAGGGTGGCAGCTTTCAAACCTTAAATACAGAATCACCCCGTGACTCTGCATTTCTACTTTTAGTTATATATCCCAAATCTGAGAGTAGAAAGACAGGTAGGTATTTGTACACTCATGTCCACAATACCATTACCCACAGTGAGCAAAATGTGATGGATGAACAGACACACACACACAAAATGCAGCTTTAAAAAGGAAATTGTGAAGCTGGATGGTGGTGGCACACGCCTTTAATCCCAGCACTTGGGAGGCAGAGGTAAGTGGATCTCTGAGTTTGAGGCCAGCCTGGTCTACAGAATGAGTTCCAGGACAGGCTCCACAGCTACAGAAAAATCCCATATCAAAAAAGGAAAAAGTGACATATGCTACACGGATGAACCGTAAAGATAATATGCTAAGTCACATAAATGGACAATTATTATATTATTATGATTTCATTTACACCAAGTATTTGCTAAAAGTCACAGAGCAGCGTCAAATAGTGGTTATCAGGGTCAGGTGGCAGAGGAACTGGAAAGAGTACAGAGTTTTAGTTTAGAAAGAGGAAAACTTATAATTTATAGTCCTGGGGATAAACAATGGAAATTGTCTCAAGTCTCTTCCTAGCAGGTGAATTAAAATGCAGAGATTATTACAATACACTGTTGACATCACAGGGTATTGAGAACACCAAAGAAGACCTAGTTTGGTCCACGGGATAAGGAGTTGGGGGGGGGGCCTGAATATTACATTAGAAGACTAGGAATCATACCTGGAAAATATTAGTAAAAACAGCCAAGAACCCCAGGGCCATCAGTGAGGTTTTTCATTCGCTGTTACTACCGTGTGAGCACATGGTGTTTGTGGGCTGACACACATGCCATGGTGTGCATATGGAGACAAGAGGACAGGTTTGTAGAGTTGGTTCTCTCCATCCACCTTCACGAAGACTCTAACCCTCAAACCACAAGCACCCACTGCGCCATCCCATAATATCTCACATAACCTGTTGAGCTACCTGACCTGCCCCAGAGATTTTAATAATACGTCCAGTGAAATCCCCTTGCCTCTTCAGTGGGAAGGACGAGCGCTGCGGATGACTGCTAGAGCCAGTCCTCTTTCCGCAGGGACTACAGACGAGCAGGCGCGGAAAAAGGACCTTACCTTCATCAGCCAGTTTCTTCTGCTTTTTTTCCTTAGTCCCTTAGAACAGAACACTCTTATTTTGATTTGCTTCTCAGGAATGTAAAGGACCAAAGCACAGGAAAGCCAAATGCACCATCTTGAGTCTTAAGTCCTCACCAGCTAGGCACTTCAAATTCCATCCCTATCCAGACCCGTGCATCTCTAGCCTACAGGAAACTCCCAAATATAACTGCAACTCCTGGGGACCAATACTTTCTTAATGTTTCTCACAAGACTGTCGTCTTCATTTGTCTTTGTAGCTCCTCAAACACCTTCCAAAGAGTTCCACCATCAGAGCAGAATGACTGAAGACAAGCACTTACAGGGATGGGCCTGCGAAGTCAGTCTCAGCGGGAAACTGTTATTTACAAAAGTAGTATAGCTGGCGCTCAGCGCACTTCACTTTCCCAGTAAATACAATGATGGTCACATCAACTACCTCTTTACTGGAACTAAATATAGACTGTCTTTCACAGCAAATGAATGACAACTGCCCCAGGGAAGAGCTACCTTCAGATGCCTTTGACTTATAAAACAGATTGTTGGAGTCTACGTAGGCAAGACCATGCCTGTGGCACGGTCACTGCTCAAACACCTTGCATATACTAAGTACTAACATGCTCCATAAACAAATGACTAAATCTCTGGTTAGTAGCTGATATCAGCATTTTATGAGGAAAGTTTAACTTCCTTGACTCCAGTGCACTACAAATAGGGACCTCTTCAGTTGTAAAGTTCAAGTCCCATTAATTAGTGCAAATCATTTATAAAATGTTATCATTCCCTGAAATCAGGACCATGGTATACACTGAGCTTAAAGGCAAGTCTGAGCAGTTTGCAACAGGTGGCCTGAGACAGGCTTCAGAAGAAATTCCTCACGTTCACCTGACTATACAGGTCTGTCTTATTCTGTGGCCCCTTCAGAGACTGCACAAAAGCAAACAAATCCTAATTTTAAAAAGGAAAATTCTACTTCTAAGATCACCTGCAAAAGTAATCCAGATAACCACTCAGGGTTAAAACTACCTACATATAAAATATTAGAAGGTAAAAACCATGGGGATCACCATGGGGAAAAAGTCTCTAAACTTCCACATCCACACAAAAAGGTGCCATTATACCAACTAACTAGTTTGCTACATACTAGAGAGATCGAGAGACTGACACTTAGAAAATCCATATCTCTCTCCCAAAAATCAAAAGTAAATTGGGACAACTTTCCCCCTAAAATACCAAAGAATCATTCCACAGCTGGAACATTTATTTAGCGCAGTCTCACACGGGTCTGGGGTGGCTGTGGGGGACGAGACTGAATGTCAGGATTAGTAAAGAGCATTTAGTAATTTCAAGCTTTGGAGAAAAGGGTGCAAGTTTAACAACTTAAGCCAGGACTTGATGTCCCAACCTCCTACATGTGGTCAGATACACAAGATGCAGATCCATTATCCTGGGACCCTTAAGCCTCAAGCTACATGAGCTTCCTAATGAAGAGTCAGCTGTTCTGATTGCTAGTTTTCTACACTTAAGAACCTAGGTGAAACCAAATCAGAGATCTTTCTAGATCTCTCCTCTGGCTGTCAGAGAAGCAGGGCTATCCTATAAATCTGACTTACAGTCACTCAGAGTAAAATTGTTCCTGAAGAAGCAACAATACAAAGACTTTGGTCCAAAAAGTGTATTTCCTTCAGTGCTTATTAAGTATACCGCATCTACTTTCTACACGTGATGCTACCAAAGAGTAGCTCTAGCTCTTTCCTTCCACCTCAAGGCTTTTCAAATGGCCTCAAACCTGAAGGACCAGGTAACAGTGAGTTAAGTTAGCACATAGCTCTTAATATAGGTCGGGGCACCATTCTAAGTCCCTTTACAGTGCAGACATCAGATTTCACAATCAGCCCGTAAGAAACGCTCCAGAGTTGCTATTTCTCCTCTTACAGAGGAAACAGAGAATTAAGTAGTCTGAAGTCTCATACCAAGTTTGAGGGAAGGCCGGGGAGCTGAGTTATGCCCAACTGTGGCTTACAACAGCTGCACACAGCAGCGAGCAAAGACGGCTGTTCACTCGATACAAAGTCAGTATACACACACACACACACACACACACACACAATCAAATCCATGCTCCACCTGGCAACATTGGAACATCGTTTTCCACCTTCCTTCTCCCAACTACCACGCCCCACTCCTCTCCACAGTTACAGGTTCTTCTGATGCAGCCCAGGGAAGGAAGAGGTTAATTAACCCTGACAAGTAAGCGTACTCTCCTTCTTTGCCCTGTAAAGTGGAGTCAAGAACCCAATTGGCCTTTCCAGGGAGCACAAGGGCCGGGATGGGAAGGTCGGGCCTCGGCGTTACCTTGTACCGAAGTGCCTGGTGAATATCCGCAGCCAGCTGTCCTCGCCACCACTGCCCCTCCAGCTCCATGGAAGCCGGCGGCGCACCCGGCCAGACGCCTCAGCTTCAGTCTGGAAGACACGCCCCAGACGCGGTCACCGCCAGCACCCCCCCCCCCCCGCACGACCCTCCGCGTCCCCATCACCAGCGCCGTGACCTCAGGTCACCCCGCGCGGCTGCTCTTCTTCACCTGACCCGACCCCAAGCAGCCATCCTCCAAGGCCAGCAAGGCCCGATCTCCCCGGAGTCAGAGGCGCGGGCTTAGCTTGCGACCGCCAGCCGGAGGAGCGGGAAGGTGCAAGCTTGGGGAGCTCGGGGTGGGACGGCTGGGCTCGGGCTCTCCAAGTCCCGGGTTCGAACTCTGCCGTCCCGCACAGCCGACACAGTCCGGACGCCGCGGGAATGGAGAGTGAGCAGCGCTCGGCCAGGTCCGCGCGGGCAGCCCGCCGCGCTCTACTCTCCCGGGGTCTGAGGCACGGCCGCCGCCGCCGCGTCCCCCGAGTGGCGAACAAAAGGCCGGCTGGTCGGCCGTGCCAGGCGCCTCGCCTCTCCTCGCGATG